AGCATCTGCTGACCTGGCGACCTCCAAAGTCGTCCCAACGTTGGACGCAACTAGATCACATCGCCATCAGCCACCGATGGAGGGGTTCGATAGAGGACTGTCGCTCGTTCTGGAGCACATGTCTAGATTCAGATCATGCCCTAGTGCGAGCGCGTATTTGTTTGAAGCTTACTGGGCGCAGGAAAGACACCGTAAGAAAGCCTCTTAGGGTTTTACTTAATGATAATAAGGCGAAAAATATATTTCAGGATAAACTAGAAAGACAGTTAGGCGACCATTTAAGCGATTCCCACCCGGAAGCAGGATGGAATGATATCAAGAAGGCTGTGGAAACAGCAGTGATATCTGCTAGTAAGGTTGACCATAAGGCTAGAATGAAACCGTGGATCTCAGTAGCATCCACCGATCTGATGGATGCCCGAAAACTCATCCCACCTGGCTCTGAACATGATGAAGAACGAAGTCAACTTAGGCGCAGACTTATAAAAAACCTACGTAACGACCGCGAACAGTGGTGGGTGGCGAAAGCAAAAGCGATGGAAAAGGCAGCGGCGATCGGCAACAGTAGACAACTTTTCCAACTTATCAAGGAAACTGGTATTAGGAATCCTAGTGTAAGTGAGACTATCTCAGAAAATGACGGGACTATTGTTTATTCTCAATCCAGGAGACTGGATTGATGGGCAGAACACTTTAGGGATCAGTTCAACTGGCCTCGAGCCACTCTTCAGTTACCCACGATCTCCAGTCATCCTGAATGGCAAATCGACGTAAGTCCCCCTAGTCTTAATGAAGTTGAAAAAGCGTTAGGAAATCTGAAACGAGGACGAGCTGCAGGTCCTGATAGACTGACCCCTGAGATATTTAAGGATGGTGGTCCAGTTTTAGCAGCTAGATTGAATGAGATCTTAGGTAGAATCTGGGAACTGGACGCAATCCCATCCGACTGGTCTTAAACCTTGATTGTCCCAATCTATAAGAAAGGACAAAAGTCTTCTTGTGACAATCACAGAGGAATCAGTCTAACTAATATAGTGTCTAAACTTTTGGCCTCAATAATACTTCGACGCTTAACGAAAGCTCGTGAAGAGCAAACTCGAGAAAACCAATCTGGTTTTCGACCTGGACGTGGTTGTATAGACCACATCTTCACACTACGACAGGTCCTGGAACACAGACACACATTTAGGCGTCCTACAATAGTTGTTTTCCTGGACGTTAAGGCGGCATTTGACTCAGTGGATCGTGAGGTTCTGTGGCAGTGTCTGTCATTGAAAGGTGTACCAAAGAAGTACATTAACCTCATACAAGCTCTCTACTCGAACACCACTGGTCGGGTGAGAGCTTATGGCGAACTGTCACCGGAATTCTTCACTTCAAGTGGTGTCCGTCAGGGATGTCCACTCTCTCCATTCTTGTTTAATTTTATCATAGACATGCTCCTAGAAATAACCTTATCCTCGTCTGAATTTTCAGGAGTAGACCTTCTACCAGGTGGCTCGCTTATTGACTTAGAATATGCCGATGACATAGTTCTATTCGATGAAGACGCTGACAAAATGCAGAGTCTTCTGACTACCCTAAGCAACAATGCAAGCATGTTCGGGATGCGGTTTTCCACCTCGAAATGCAAAATGTTGCTTCAAGATTGGGTTGCATCGGCACTTGAACTAGTGATAGGGAGTGAAGTAGTCGAACGTGTAGACCACTTCACTTATCTTGGGAGTCTCATCAGTGCCGATGGCCTGGTGACTGACGAAATCTCGGCACGGATACAGAAGGCTCGATTGGCTTTTGCCAACCTGCGTCACTTATGGTTTTCGATCATAGGTGTCTTCGAAGCATTGCTCGTATATCGTGGGACACCCGAGTGAGCAACGCTGTTATTAGGAAACGGGTACTAGGTAAGAATGGCAGATCAATCGATGAAGTGGTGAAACTTCATCAGTTGAGGTGGCAGGGATACGTGTTGTGTATGCCTAACCACCGACTGCCTCGTCGAGCTTTGTTTTGTAGTGTAGGAATAGGTTGGCAGAAAGCTAGGGGCGGCCAGAGCAAAACATGGCATAAATCCATGAAGTCATTGACGAGTGGACTTAGCCATGTCGGTTGTTGTCGACTACCTGGTTGGGGTCCGCGAGATGATAATAATCGGTGGCTAGAGACCTTGAATGACATGGCTCAAAATCGTTCGCAATGGCGCCAGTGCATTTATTCCTTGTGTTCTCTCAAATCCTAATCTTCTGGGTTCTTCAACACCTCTAGTTTTGACTTTCTAAACTTTTCTCACTGAATCATACTTCTTGAATAATATCTTCTAATCCTAACCTCTCCGATTACTTCTAATTTCCTTACTACCTCTTCTACTATTGGATTTGAATTGACAATTACTTCTCTGTGCTGATGTGGTATGGCGACATGAACTGATGTACTTACGTACGAAGTTCTACGTCGCAACTGACTGACTGACTGAGCGGAGCAATGTTGTTCATCCCTTATTTATGCAAAGCTTTATACTACTTACTAATATTCAGTAGCCAGATGATTCTAGTAAATATTGAGCGCATGGCATGCTGTGGCTGTAACATTTTTAAGCATTTACATAAACTTGTGATATTGAATTAATTTTTTTTTGAAGACCTTCTTAATACATTCGATCATATTGTATAAGTTGAAAGGTCTTTTTTATGGTCTCCATATATAATGCTTTTCGTTCTCAATTCGACATCGTCTGACACTGATTTCAATACATTTGTTAGCTGTTGTATATATTGATGCATGTTGTTATAGATAACTTTATATATTTACTTCAGGATATAATCTCTAGTTTTGCACAGATTTAGTAGATACCCCGTAAATTTGGTTTTACAATGCATTTCATACATTTTCGAAATAACAGTACCATCTAGGTAATTAATATTGGATTTGTTTGTTCGTCAGGTTTTACAGGTCATCTGCCTAGAGCAGACAGGGTTGAACTCCACTGATCACATCTCACGAGAATTTTCTCCTAAAGCGAGCAGATCATCAAACGTCAAATAAATCATCTCTCCTCAAAAAACACGTCTTAATCCTCCCACTTACATGCTGTCTTTTGGCTATTGAAAATTGGAAAATCAATTAGATTTTGTATATGATGTGAAAGACTCTCTGAACTACAGAAACATCTTTAGTTTTTATTGATTTAAGTCGGTTCTGTTTTACAAACTAAACTAATTATGACTTTTTGAATCGCATTATAGGACTATGTGGAAACATAACCCGTATTAAATGTTTCATACGTAAATGTTGTGTAACGCTTAACTGTATCACCAGTAAATAATCATCAGCATTTGTATGACATCTTACTTTGTAAAAATGTGACTAGGAGCATTTATCCATTGTATACATTAATAATCAAAAATAATTCTGCTTACAGTATTGATGACTATGATGGTGTATATTTCGTTAATGAAGCTATATTTTCCATAGGCGTTGTGAACATATCTTGTGCTTGATAGTAACAGATATTTACATAAATAATCTATGGATCATATCTTCAAAAATGTCACCTCATATATTCGAGATATCCTCTCTTCATTTGTAGTAACCTGATCACGTTTGTAAACTGATGTGCATTCTCCCATTATTTACAGAATCAGTTACAATCACTAGAGTACTACAATATCTCTCATAAAGTTGGTCTTTTCTCTACAGAATGTGTTCTGTGGGTTTCACTTATTTCAATCAGATGCAGCTACTATCTTCTCATCTCAGCGGCTATTTGAGTAACTCCTGACCTCTCTTATTGTTCGAAAATTCTGTATGCCAGTGTTTATTGCTTTCTTAGTTGTCTGACATGGTGTTGGACTCATGCTTTCGGAAACTGTCAGCTTTTAACATGAGATTTCATAACTGAAGTGTGATTAAACTTTAACAGGCTGTTTAGTTCATTGAGGTTTATGCGACAGCTACAATTTCGCAAAATGCACACAAATTAAGAACCTATTTATGCCTTTCATGAACTACCTGAGAAATCGGACTCTGTGATAATAAGATTTATGGTATGGTATAGATCTTGAAACTCATTCTGGACTCTGAAATGGTTCCACCTTACATTAGGAATTACACTTGGGTTTTAAGCTTTTCAGCATTAAAATCTCTATGATAATGTTCAGTCAAAAAATTTATGAATCATTTCCTCATATATGTTAGAGATGCTCTCTCTTCATTTGTAGCAACCTGATCACGTTTGTAAACTGATGTGCATTCTCTCATTATTTACAGAATCAGTTACAATCACTTTTAATTTTGGTAAACTACAAATACAGCTTGATACAATTCATTTACAATGATTTATTCAAACATTCGATGCCTACATTTAGAACTCAAATCTATTTATCATGAATGAATTTTGTCTCAGTTTATTGATCATCGAAAGCGGAAGGTGTTGAACAACTATGTCGTTTTATTCTCAGAGTTATTATCTCCAATCACTCAGGACGCTCACTTCCAAGTAAACTCTTCAACAATTAGTCCCTTTACTTATAACCACAAGTTCAAATGAAAAGCAAAAGTCTCAAAAATTTCCATCTGAAAAATAACTAATTATTGATACATAGTCAATCTTAATTTTTCATATCGAAAATGACAAAGTTCATTACAGTTGTAACTTGAGATCATTTAAAAATGAGATCGGTTTTATTTGTTTTTCAATACAGAAATTTGAGAATAGGTAGATATTTTGATTGTATAATAAATAATCTTTTCACATTTTAAAATATAAAAACCAAAATTGGGCTTAAAATGTATAAAACAAAATACCTGAAACATTGAAACCGGGATTAGTAAATAATACTTCTAAAAGTTGTGCATAGAAGTACTAAATGATTTTACCAGAAAGAGTAGTATCAAAATAAGTATAAAGGAAAAGTATACATAGATAAGAGTAGCAGTGGTAGTAGTATAATCAACCAGTTCGAGAATATTTTAAAGCTTTTGTTCACTTTTTTTTATTTGATTATAACTATTGTTCAAAATCTATTTTGTAGAATTTTAAGTGTTCAACAATTTCGCGTTCTTCGTTCTATTATCTCTGTGTAAGCATCAGCACATTATTATTATATCTATAAAAGAAAATCAAATTAATTTAAAATAAACAATGATAAATGCATTATTATCATTGCCAACTTCACCGTCATCATGTTATCAATGGAGGTTGATCGTGAGAAACAAAATTTACTGTTCTTACATCACCGGTTATATCTAAAGCGGATGGAGACGATGATTCATATCCACTCGGTGAATCATCAGTTGCAATGGAAGAAGATACACCAAAATAACGGAATGTATTATGATTATTAACGGAGTTATTATTTCGTTGTTCAGTTAGTGCATTTGTAAGTGGAGGGAGAACTGGATGTGTCATTGATTCTGATAATGATGATGTGCTATTCCATGAATGTTTAGTCGGTGTCGGATAATTATCAGGCGACAAGGGTCGATTTATATAATGAGCATTCTTCGGATTGTTATTAAAATTTAATATTGGTGTTGTCATGACTTCTTTCGACTCATTATGACAATTACACGAACACAATTGTCCATTCATCATCACGTGATTGTAACGACAATTAACACAAAAATTTTGTCCATTCATATTATTTTGAAATGATACAATTGAACAGTATGGAGATGCTTCAGTATCATTACTAATAGTATCATTAGTATTTTGTATAAAATTACGACTATATGTTTGTTTGTACTGTTCATAGTTTGTAACTGATGGTAGATTCTCGTCAACATCATAAACATTCAATGGATTGCACATAAATCTGGAAGAGCTATGAGAATTATTAGTCCAGACTGCATTTAAATGCTGTCTGTCACTAGTGGAATGTTCAAGATTTATTAATCCATCAGAGAATCCAAAACGATTAGTTGTACTATTACTGTTACCGGTAGCTGCGGTCTGTTCTAAATTAGTAAAATTTGTATCCGACAATCCTGAGGCTAGAGATGAATTTGATGAAGTTGTTGAGAAAAACGTCATCCGATTCAATCGATTATGATTGTATAGTCCTCCACTTAGCGGTGGATATACATTTTCTTCATCTATTTCACTGGCAATGGGAGAGTAAAATCTATGCAGTCGACCTATTTCAGTGAGAAAAGTAAATTCGAAATTATTATACAGTTGATAAATAGTTTAACGGACAAACATATGCCCACTTATCAATGTTTACACCTCTCCGATGCAATAGAATCCATCCAAATATTTGAAATACTACAGTAGTGAATGAGAACACAGGTGGGGCAACCGAAATCTATTGAACGAAAATTACAGAGTTACTCAGTAAAATCGGAAAACCATATCATAAATCGTTAATTTGCAAAATATCAGTTCATCATATCAAACTGGACAGTTCCTCTTGCCAAACACCAATCCATTGTCACTATTCATGCGTTTCATACAAATTCCATTTTTTTTCTAACTCTTCCTTTCTTGACCTTCCCCCATCTTCTGCTGCCAGACATTACGTCGACACTCATGTCATATACTACTTATAAGTAGCTCGCGCCACACTATGACAAATTTTCTGAATTCTGTGGTCAATGCTGTAGAACCATAAATTACTATTATTGGAATGGTTTATGTCAGCAGTAATTTTTTTTATAAATAATTCGCAATACTGAAATACAGCTTTTATGATATCGGTAACCTATAACAAAAACCTCAAGTAAGACCTTTCATTGACAGCTTGATGAAATATTCAGTGAGATCTTTTGCTAATAAACAATATCTATTCCAAGATAGCCTGAGTAATTTTACACTTGTCCACTAATCTAACTGCACAAACTATTGATCTATTTGGTTAAGCGAAGAAAAGCTTTCAGAACTATAAACTAATATCAGTGAAAAGAGTGAATAATACTGGATTGACCGTCTACTCGTTCTAAACTACACCATTGTGTATCCCCCAATGGGTCGCAATTCAATTATTTATTGATTTATACATCAACAATAGATTAGTATTTTAGCTCGCAATCATGGTGAATACCTAATTCTGAAGAAATGTAATAACGTCACAAGTAACGTTAATTAATTGATGAATACTACTACCACACAAACCGAGTCAATCAAACCTTAATGCGAGATGATCAAAGATTAAGAAAAACAAATTCCCGTGAACAGATGAGTCAAAAAGTCAACCAAATAAATTCACACGAAGTTTTTTCTGGAGTTTACATAGTCATAGTAGTCTGAATGATTACGAAAGTTGTCTTTGAAAAGATGACTTCACATATAGGTTTCGATTATCTCTCAGTAAGTCAGATATGTTAGTATGTTGAAATTTTTTATTTAGATCCAAACATTAATCACTCTTAGAACAGAGAGGTTGTTAAATTTTACATCATGTTAGATTCCTAGTGACATGATAATATTTTAGGATTTATACAACATTGGTCCAAACAAATAAATATTCTACTAGGCCTAAAATGACTGAGATAAATTATTCGGCTTATGCTCCGTCCAGTAATCCAAAACTCTTGATAATCTCATAAAAATGATACGCAATGAAAACCTGTTTAGTCTAAATACATGCTGACAGAAAAAAATACAACAAACAACCTGATTTATCAACACATTATTAGATCACAGACATACATCAAACATTGACCGACAGCCTACATAAATCAATCAGCCTACATACTTATTTCTACCAATTAAATTTAAACTGCGGATCAACACGCTATAATCTTTTTATGACTCAGATTGGTCTGGAAAACAGAAACGCATTAGCACCAAAATCATCAAACACAGTATGATATTTATGCCTTTCAACATTCAGCAAATCCACTTAGATTTATATCACTTGCAATTAAATTGTACTATCAAATCACATTAGCAGGTCAAATTAACTTTTGCAGACAGCCATATTTAGTTTAGGGACAAATTGGGGTCAAATAAACTGATTTAGTGCTATTTATCATAGGACATTAGGTACTGCTTATATGACTAAAATAAAAAAGTATTTAAATGAAATGATGTTTCATTAGTTCTTGATCAAAGATGGATTGATTAGAATAAACAAATCACGATTATTTACGGCAATAGTATCTTTAGTTTTATTGGACAACAGCTAGTATTATTTTGGGGTAGCGAAGTAAGATTATTAGATAGAAATGAGCTGAACATTCTATATTTTGAAACTATATCGTTTTGCAACGATCTACAAGAACTGACTCGTAATGTAATAATCTGACTGAAAAATATTTTTGATGACTGGTTAATAAAATGAACAATTTACAGCAAAATACATTCGGTTGAGTTGGATATTTGCATCAAGAATAACAAGGCCAAATAATGACTGACAGAACTTCAGACCTTAATTACTTACAATCACCACCCAACTCGGTGTACCAGCATGATTTCCATGGAGTAATCAAATATCAAAGTTAAAAAACTATCATTCATTTTCGATATAATGAAACTTACCTCTAATCATCTATTAGTCATCTAAATTTGATGAAGATGAAATGATGTTTTAAATTACTTAATATCTTAATCATACACATACCTAATTGTTTAAATGTCTCGGATAAATTCGAAGTTGAAAACAGGAATTTGGTGAATAAAGAAATACTGAATGACGTAATGCTTACTATACTACGGCTATTATGACCTGAAAATAATTTAGAAAACTAAATTATATTAGAAATAAATAATATTTAGTGGTCTAGGGTCATTCAGGAGTATGAATTCAATTGGCTGCCATGACCACCCACAACCCTTGCTTGTTCAGGCCCTAATAACGATCAGTAAACATGAGAAATATAAGTTTCATGTTGAAAACACGTTACTAGCTAAATGTGATTAATCCAAACCCACATTATGACTAGGAATAAATCAATGATGCGATTTCGTCAAATATCTGTATGATGTTTTAGTGGTTACCAGTGTAATTTTTCAGTAAAAGTATACCATATTGACGGCTTTGAAAGAAGTAATGAGAACAAGGATAGAGATCCCATTACTTTTCGACAAAAATCAAACTGAAAAGGATAGTTTGTATCTTCTTACTTACCAAGACAGGTGTTAGTACGTGGTTCGTAAAAAGTATATAGTTGACAAAAATGTCTTCCGTTCAATGAAACAAGGAATGTGAAATAGTGTTTGAGATAAAGTACGAGAAGCACCTACTGCATCGGTAGACTTTACAAGAAAGTACTTGATGTGACCCAATGCATAGCCAAGGCCATTTGTACAGCTAAAAAGAATTCTTCCACTCGAACTTCTAGTCCTAAATCGCAACGCCAACTTTCATAGGTTTATAAATAGAGAAAGCAAAGCACCATCGCATTAGATCTGATTTCGTGTCGTAACGAAAATCATCAAACTAATTTCTTACCCTAACCCGAATTTATAACACTAGTGCAAGTCCGTATATCTAGTCTTGATCTTTCTTCATTTACCGTAATAAATAACGCAACGTGTAATAGTTCATTATTTATATCAAAGCTTTTTTCCTAAATACATTTATTGCTTTTTACAATCGATACTTTTACAGCTAAACAATATTTTCCGTTTGACCAATAAATGACATAGGGTGGGCAGCGCATCATACCTTTATGATTTGTTTTTCACTGAGGTTTAAGATAAACCATTGTCGCATCAAATTTTTTAAAACGATATTTTTTATTCTTTGGTAAACCACTTCATCTAAAATGGTGGAAAAGTGAAGAGAATAAAAGAGATTTATTTAAGTGATATGTGGAAATTTTTAGCCGATTATCCACTACCAAGATTGGATATAAACTGCATCAAATAGCAGTTCCACTAACATTAATAGCTGAATTATTTTTAAATTCCTCATAGATGTCTAAGGTTCCTATATTTGATGAAATACGAGTCAATCCATCAACAATATTGAGAAATCAAACTGGGTTGAAACCATTGCACAATTAGTGGTCTGATTTTTAACAATCATCGAATTAACGTTAGCTTTTCGTAGGTGATATAATTCACAATAAAGAAAACAGTATGTTAATATTGCATACTTGAATATCTAGTAATTAACCGGCTATTACTTACCAAGCATTTCTATTCTGTTGATTGAACTTTATTGATCAGGCAATACAGATTTTAGTCACTGAGGTAAATTATGTTTGAAAATTGGTAATAACTATCCTGAAGTACTATTTGTATGGTTACAAAATTGATTTGCAGTTACTAAATGATGCTATAAGTACTTCTTGATATGATGAAAATCTGTAGCTCCGATGGGTGATTATGTTGGAGTTTTGTTCTCTAGGCTATATGGTTTCGTCGAGGAGTTCCCATTTTCAGCTGGTAATTACCAAGCCATCCATCCAGATCAGAGAACAAAACTCCACCACAATCACTCACCTGAGCTAGAAATTTTCTTTATTATATCAAGAAGTACTCATAGCATCTTTCAGTAACTGCAAGTCAATTTTTTAGCCATACCGATTAATAGAATTCAATGATTAGAAAACATAACATTTCTTACTGCCTATTGACCACTAACTGTTACAGACCCAGATAAATTCGTTATTTATTGAATGTCCTCTAACAACCTTTTAGATGAAGCCTAATGCATTAGTTCATGGAAAAATTTTTGATAAGGTTTATTAAATAAATATCAGCAGCCAGGATACTAAGGACCAAGTTTACTTACCAACTGTCTTCAAACATTAATTTGAGATTAATGACCACACAATATCTTTATCAAATTACTTATTGATATAACACTCATAATCCATATAAGAGCAGTAAAATCGGTGAATTTAAGAAAAACACTCCCATACAGTAAAAACCTACATCATCAAGTATATAAATATTACTTAAAGCAGTCCAGATAAACGACATTTGGTGATTGGTTTATTCGGATTTATCGCCCTATTAGGTCATGACCTAACCCTAACGCGTCCTGAACTTAGTTTCGCGTGGTGGGGACAGGAAAAAATCCTCTCACAATAATAGTAATAATGGTGTCGATGGTCACAATTTGAAGTGAAATTCAATATTCACCACATATAAGTGATCAAAGTTAAGAAAAATACTGCCTGTATAATGTTGTATGTATTAAAATCATCAACTCCTGAATCGTAAGATATTAAGATATAGGCATATCACAGAATTATATAACTAACTACCTTAGAACTAAGAGACTAATAAAGTCTGTTTGTATTTATGTACTGAATACCAGTAAATATATTATTTTAATTGACTAAATCACTGGCCTAGTTCAATTGAGCAATTTCATGGACTATAACTCACTACTTTAATATATTATTAAATACTGTTTAGTGAAAAATATTCACTTAACCGGCTCATAATCCTGTGACATACAACTAACACAAATAGATAACCAGTATATATATCATGAATCTAAATTTAAAAATATCCATTATTTTCTCCATGTACTATGAAAAATGAAATATTTGCTTAAACATACATGAAAGTAAACACCTTTGAAATTTCTACGATGATAATAATCTTGCGAGAAATACGTCCCATCCCATTATAAAGTCAAATCGAATACACTAATGAAATATACTTGATATCGGGCTTTACCACGACAATATACAATTCTTCAAGGCTTCAACTAACCATATGATTCATTCACCAAGGAGGGTTATGTACTCTGTTTTGAGTCACACTATGGTATGAACAAAGTCACTATCTGACTAGATAAGCCGATATAGACAAGTTCTAATCTAAAATATTAATGTATTAACAATTGAACCACTCAACAGCAAAATCTTGTGTTGACTACATATAGATGATGAAAATATGAGCAGGAAAAAAAAACATTGGAATGTTTCACTTTTATAATTTGCAAGCTGATTGTCTTCAAAAAAATATTGTTTGCAATTAGTAATTTCTTTTCAGAAAGAAAACAATAAATTCCTTATTGTATGTATTCAAAGCAATGAATTATCTTGACTCATTTAAAGTATGTTCATATAAAGTAAGAATAAAACCCAATTCATAGTCAACCAGTACAGTAATTTTGTATTAAAACAGAATTTTTAAAAACTAGATGACAGTGATAATGAGTTAAGAAGACTGAATTGATAGAAGAGAGTTTTTCCTGAATGAAATAACATTATGGTAATTTATATCTATGGAAAATGTACGTCTGTACGATCAATAAAAAATCAATTCAGTTAATTCAAGCAAAACAATTCATGTTCCTCTTGGAATACCTTGCAATTTGATTTTTACTCAGTTTAGAATAAAGAATACACTAATCTGTTGAATAAAAACACATGGCCAGAAAGAGTGTAGGTATAGAGAGTTTGGTGAACTTCGTACTTGTTACAACTTATAAAAGTGGTAATAAACAAATAGACTGTGAAGTGTTTTTCTTTAATAACCTAGATAGAAGTGTAATGAATTATGAGCGATGATCCGTGAAATGATATTACTCTGTGAATAGTTCACAATTGGGGAATTTAGTAACTGATATTGAGTTCCTTTAGATAAGAAACAGTGAAGAAACGAAAGCTTCGTAAAACTTACTAAATTACAATCCAGACAGAGAATTAAAAAATCGGAATTATACACCAATCACTGTTAGACCACCATTAGAAACCTAGAAGCACTAAACGGCCATATTGTCCTAGTATGGTGATCTAACGATGATCGATTCATAATTTCAATGAAACTCAAAAATCTCCATTACTGTATAATCAAAATATTAGAACATCAATTAATGATGAAATGAAAACTAAAATAAACATAAAACCTTAGTATCCAAATGAAATTTAATAAAGAAGACAAGCTGAAAGTGAATATATCAGCGCTAAATCATTAACAGCTAGGATAAAAAGAAATGCAATCAAGAAGCTTAACTCTTACCATCTTTTAAATAATTCATTTTCAACATAATGTATCATTTAGAACATTAACTTATGGCCAATTGAATTACAAAATGTTACAAATATTTTAATCAACAAAGATTAGTTAACTGAACCTCAAAATTTTACTTAAGACTGATACACAAATACACAAACTACGCTAGTGATTAATGTATCTTCCAGTTAGTGTGAACGTTGTGATTTGGGAGAATTTCCCCAGGCTGAGAATGTACTATCATATCTTTCAAGTTAAAAACGTTTTCATTGCATTTTACGGAGGAATAAGTGTCAACAGAACGTTTCAGAGAAATATCCATGGCCTGAATTATAATCCAATAGTCATAGACATACAGTCAAAATTATACAAATTCGGATATATTTTAAATTACCACAAATGCCAACTTACCGTTAAATTGATCCATTTAGTAAATTGAACCCAAAGTTGTCGTTATGGTATAATACCTTGAAAACTGTTAGAATATTTAAGACGCAATGATTTTGAATGCTCCTCACTCTTAACAATAGATTCAAAACACGTTGAAGATATTTAGTGCTATGACTTAGCCCATGAAATAATTAAAATGAATTTTTATCATTTCAACTCAGCTTCTGATTGGTCTATGAATTTGTTGGGACTTCTACTTTCATCCACCTCTCCCCCTTTAAATTTCACTTTTATATTTTCAGGGCGCTTAGACTGATGTGAAAAGGAGTATGAAAATCAACATCCAACCTTCAAAAGTGATTGACCAATGTTGACCTGAAGAGAACAAAAGTGACACGATAAGGGTACGCAAATTTAACCAGACAATGGATTGATACATGACACATTAATGATTTCCTGTGGTTGATTTTATTGTATTAACAATCTAGATGATGTAATCGCGTTATCTAAAGGCTTGACTGCATAGTTCTTGAACCTAAGAAAACTAGACATTTTGACAAATGTAATTAATCAAGGGGATTTATTCAATGACTGATAATCTGATCAGTCATTCTTTTGTGCAAACTATTACGTAACCGGTTAGATCAATAACTGGTTAGCTAGACACAATAAGTCTGGCAAAAAATTTCCAATGAACTTACCAAAGGTTAATTTGTATATTTAAACGAATTTATCGTAAGAATAATTCAAAAGTGAGTACCACTCGCCCATTCACTCATTCATTGGTTGTACCTATTTAAATTAATCAATTCACATTAGATTCAGCTTTAGTGAGGCGTCATCATGATGACTAATATCCGAAATCTATACTCATAGAAGAGTATAAATCGGTGAAATTACTTCAACACGACTAGGACTTCAGTTCATAAATTTCTCTCAACACAGTAAGTTATTTTTAAAGTAATCAGTTAGAAATAAAACACCTATAAGGATTTAGCATAAATTAAGACCTGAAAATTAATACTTACACGACAGTATAAATATCTGATGAAGTTGAGAAACGTCATTCACTGAGTTGCATATTTGAGATTCTATCGTAGCAAGTGAATCCAGCGTTCAGTGTTCTTAAGTCCTCTAACAATATTTGATTCTAAATGACATAAGTAAATACTAAATTTCATAAAATGGTAACTAGATAACATCGGCATTTTCGCTAACAGCCTTTATTGATATTCCATAATGCAAAATTAATATGATGGAAATTGTTTTGTGAAAATTATGCGATTCACCGTAATGGATTATTCAATAAATTCTAAGATTTTACTTCTTCAGATGGTCATTTATTTTAACAAAAAGCTTTTTGCATTCCTTTATCTTTTTTGTGTTGGAAACTAGAGAATAATTCCGTTATGACATTATTCTTTACTCAACTCTGAACCTCGAAAAAAAAAATTAAATTCGTGAAGTTAAGTATACTTGACTGTAGAATACTTGATCATTTGTGGGGAATTTTACTAATCATGTAACATAAAAGGTGAATTTTTACAGTAGCATTCAAGTTTTTCTATCTTATGGATAGTCGACAATCACGGTAAAATTTGATCACACAGTGATTTCTAAACTCTTGAGCTTGTAAGATTTTAAACGAAACGAGTCACTTTAGCTTTATCGAAGTAATACGATGAGTCTAGCAGTTAAGATCTAATTCATTGGGAAGTCAATAACCTACAAAATCGGCACTGTTCATTCGTCTACAACAGTTTATATGGTTATTTTCTGTGTTCATATGAGCATATCATTTCATTACATTAAAGATCTATTTTTCAAGCCAGAAATCTTGTATTTCATTTGAAATTATTCAGGAGTTTAAGTAAATAATTCAGCCTCGTGAGTAAATATCACTTGGCCATATCAAACCATAGTATTTCACCTAATGATCATTATTTCCTTCCATTTTAATAGTTGAAACCGCAAAGACCTATTCCGTAGCACAACTATCATTCGACTAGAAAGAAGTTAAATATGTATGTCTACTGACTTCATTCTTTTGACTTCGTAAAAGGCACCACTGGATCCACTTATTAATATTCAAACTAGAAATTTAGCCATCGTATAAACTTCATAATACAAAGTGGTGTTTTTAATTTTTAAAACCGATTCAATAAGAATGTACATTAAGGTAAGGAAATGTTAAAGTTTGTGAGAACGATGAATCTCCAACTATTTTCCTTTGATCAACGTGATTGGAATTTTCTTGTTAATACTACATAACATAACTTGCGTTACATCAGTAAACTAATAGATCATCGATTATAGGGTAAGAAAATCAATCATCGAATAAACACTGCGCAAAAGCTTATGTATATGAGCATCAGTTTCACTGTATTTTGCTGAAACAGAATAAGTTCAGAAACGTTTGTTGAAAAGTAACCAAATTGCAGTTAGTTAGTAAAGAGAACCATTGAAAGTCACCAGAAAACAAGTACTGTAAAGCTGTTTTGTCTAAATATGGGTCCCCTTATTATTGTCTATCTACATTCCCACCAGATATCAGATGCAGAATTACCAATCCTCATACAAAAATTTCGGTAGTAAATTAACGAGATGAAAAGTAAGTGAAGAGGAATTATATCCAACTACAATAAAAGTTTGAGCATGAGAATTACAGGTCAAAAGTAACAAATAAGACGATAGGATGAAAATTTAATAATGATACTTGGTTCAATATTTAGGGAGAAAGCAGAGATAAAAACGAGTGGGACAATTAGGATGCAACTGGTTTTGTTCTATGTCATCAGTCGGCTTTGAATAATGACAACGAGAATTTCTTAAGCCTCAATCAGCAGATTTGCATCTACTGATTTGGTTCAGACTATCAATGAATAACTTCATTGGATAATGGGTTTATCATGATCTACTTGATCTTAGCTTTCCTTAGTTTACTCTTATGTCAGCTAATATTACACCTCGAGATAAATGGAGTAGTTAAGTTTTTCAAACACATATACTTCGATTTCGTATACTGGTTCAGAAAAACTAATCATCAATCTTAATCTAACAAATCATTTACAGAATAAAACTAAGTAATACATTTTTTTTCTTGTTTCTAGACATTTAGTAAAAATTTTTTACAAATCTTGTTTGTAATTCGAATCTTTTCTGTAGGTAGCTATTATTATCAAATTAGCCAGTATTTATTTTAAGTTCATACTTGATTTTAATACTATTATTACTTAGGAGGAAAAGCGATGCAATCATTTATCAAAGTTTGATATTAGCTAGTAGTGATACTCTTCAGGTGAGTTATCTGAGTCGAAGTTACAGCGAGAACATCATTATTGGAATAGAGAGACAACCATCTTACGAGTCTCAACTACGACGAACGCATATTCTTGATTAATCTAGTAACCTTGATCTACCTTTTAAAAAAAATTGTGACTAAATGACATTATTGAGACCATCCACTTAGGATATTCATATGCCAACGAAAAATTGATCATTTACAACTGTTGATATTAACAAGAGGAATAATACAATCTTTTAAAACAAAAGCTTTTTTGTATCCGTTTCTTAAGTTTTATTATGTTTTATTTCGTTATCAATCAAAAAAAAAAATAACTCATTTAAAAACCATAGACAAAAGAATTTAATACTTACAGATAACGTGATGACCCATGCTAATAGATCATCTCAGGATGCATGCATTTTTTATACATAAAATAAGATCAATATGATTTGTTTATTCTGTTTAATAAATGAAATGTACCAAAAACATTTAACACCTAGACAGACATCATATCATTGTATTACGTAAAATGAACTATATATTGTTCTAGTCATACATTGAATAATATGATTCACGAAATCAATTATCATTATCAGCATTATAAATGAAATATTGTCAATAAATTTTAGTCATATTGTATATATTTACAAGCGTTTTGAATATTTCTGTTGATAATACCAGAAGCTGCTCATTGGTCAACCGGAAAATTTTAACATTTATAAATAAACAATAAAATTCATTCTAGTTACTGTCTGGATTCAATAGCTCACATTGGTTATTGTGTTAAGCGTTTGAAGATAAATGTATTAAGTTTACATTAAAATGTAAGATGAAGAAAGTAGAGCAAATGTTTGTAATCTATTATGCTCTGTAGTTATATACTTAGACCTTCGTCTAGAAAGCCGTCAGTTTCATTAGCACCTGGATCATTTGATATTGGAGCTGTAATCAAGCATTTAATCTTTTGTTACATATTATTCTATAAAACGTAAGTTAAGTAAAAACTAATCATCCTTATCTGATTGTTATTATACTTGTGTGTACGTTTGGTTTCTAAATTGAACTGGAAGGTACTGGTAAAACTTAAAAGAGTAATCCATTGTTTTATTTATCTTTGCACTACGAAGCATAATAGTTTTAAATTGCTGACTATAATCACAAATCAACACATCAGTTTCATAATATCCATAAACAAAGTGTTACACAATCAACTGGGTCATAAAAAAATTTATGACATCGTTGTTGGTCTTGATGGCTAAACGAATATGGATATGAATACATTCCAGTATATTAATTTTTGGTGTTTGATTCTTATCAGCAAATATACTCGTCGACTTCCTTGTTTCTGTGTATTCATTGAGAAGCAAACGTATTGCGTAGATCGTTAGTTTTCAGAGGTTTTATATCTTTTTTCATGATTTTATCTTCTAGCGGTTTCGACTGGTTTTCTACGACTTTTCTGTTTCGCCTACAAATAAGTTTTCCAAATACAATTAGATGAGATACTGCTTGTATACAATCAAAGTTTCAATTGTTTGAGTGAACTTTCAAAATTTATTTGTGTTCATTTCCAACCATTATTTTGTTTCGTCCATTATCGGTTTAAATAAACTCTAACATTCTTGTCAAGCATATTATTGAACATATTGAACATATTATTGAACAGTGAACTTGATTCATTGTCAACCAACTTACATATATACTGCTTTCCTAGTAGACCTTGAGTCTTTTTCAACACTACTGGGCAAACAAAAAAATATACATACAAGCTGATTGTGTCACTTTTAATCAGTCATTTTTACAGTAGATCTTATAGCTCCGACACAATCTATAAAAACTGTTTCCATTTTTGTACTATCCGTCATTATTATTTTGAATTTATCTAATATTCAAATTAAATTGATACCTTTTTTATACGTAAGTCAAGTAGATATTACTGGATGTCCATTATCATGGTTATCTGTATTAACTATTTTAAACAACAAGATCCTTTGTACGTTGGTTTTTGTTTCATGTATAAACGTATACACTAGAAATTCCACTGATAGCTTTATCACTATATTCATGTAACAATATTCAGATTTTTGAGTTATCCAATTAAGTCCTTGCAATAACTTTGTTTCTTAACTTTTATTTGTTTATTATAAGGATTTACAGTTGAAAATATTTCATCACATCACATTTTCTTCCAATATACATTCAATAACAAGATTTATTAATTCTATTCCTTGTTTTTATGACTCTAGACGTTAATGAGTTTTTGTATTACATTTACTTAATTTAATCAATTAATTAAACTTTAAACGTATATA